TGGCAAGGAGAGATGGAGTTGGATGTCATCCACATACTGGTGACACCGAACCCCAAATCACCAGACAGCCTCTTCCAGCAGATTCATGTATATGTTAAATAACAAAGGAGACAAGACAGAATCCTGAGGGACTGGCAGCCAGGTGTTGAACAAGAATCCCCCAGTACTACCTTCTAATATCTCTTCTCCAGAAAGGACCAGAGCCATCATAAAACAGTGCCTCCAAGTCCCATCCCAGAGAGATGGGCCAGAAGGATACTACGGTCGATGATATTGAGAGCTGTTGAGAGATCCAGCAGAACCAGCAGAAATACACTCCTCCTTACCAGTTCCCAACATAAGGCTCCCAACAAGGCGACCAAAGCAGTCCCTGCTCTGTAACTAGGCCTGAAGCCAGATTATAACTACATATCCCCGATACTTAAAAGCCTAGGCCAGACAAGTTTGAGAAACTAACATTTGTAGGACTTTAGTAGTTAAATTGGTAAGTTTTCTACAGCTATTCAATGTGTTGTAGTGGATAGACAGATGGACTAGGAGACTTGCATTCGTTTTTCACTTGGCCTTTGAAGTGGAACTGGTAACAACTCCTTTAATATCTTACTTATCTTGAAAACACTATATAGGATTGCTACAAGTTAGTTTTGACTTGATGATACATAACAATAACACATCACTAGTAGTATGATCAGGGACGTGGTGGCGCTGTGGGCTAAACCGCAGAAGCCTGCGCTGCAGGGTCAGAAGACCAGCAGTCGCAAGATCGAATCCACGCGACGGAGTGAACGCCCGTTGCTTTGTCCCAGCTCCCGCCAACCTAGCGGTTCGAAAGCATGCAAATGCAAGTAGATCAATAGGGACCACCTCGGTGGGAAGGTAACAGTGTTCCGTGTCTAAGTCGCACTGGCCATGTGACCACGGAAGATTGTCTTCGGACAAAACGCTGGCTCTATGGCTTGGAAACGGGGATGAGCACCGCCCCCTAGAGTCGAACATGACTGGACAAAAAAAAATGGTCAAGGGGGACCTTTACCTTTACCTTTAGTAGTATGATCAGCCATGAAAAACATGTTAATTTGGTTCTATAGAGAAAAAAGAAAAACAAATTCCATCCTGAATTCCTTACCCAGATATCCATTAGTGTCATCAGCATTTTCAGTTTGCAAGAAGTGAAGTTATATGCCAAAGAAAGAAAGAGAACAGGAACTATTTTATTTTCTTCAATGCACAACCATGCTGTGGTCTCAGGACTAGCATTCCAGCATTTTCATTATTTATTATTATTTTTTACGGTAATGGTAGTATCAACACTGACCAGATGATATCTACATATACTTCTAAATGTATGAGCAAATGGTGACTAATTTTTATTTATTCCAATACAGTCGACATTGACTATTTGGACATCTGTATTGTTTGAAAGGTGAAATATCCATGATAAAGTGAACTTCCTAAGTACCTCTGTACCTAGCAGATCTGAGTTTGTAATTCATCTGATCCTGGACTGGGTCTAGTAGTACAGCCAACTTTTTCTAGGAGGCTTGGAGAGACAGCTTCTCAAGTGTCATCACTGTAGTCAACACAATGGCAAAAAATACAGGAACTATTTTTCCATAAGTGTTGCATGTGTCTTGCTCATACAGTTGTAAAATTATGTAATAGCATAGATTGTTATGTGACAGCAAGGCATCTCCAATTTACAGTGGCCTTATGAATGAATGACTTCCAAAATGTCATATCTTTAACAGTCTTCTACAGCTCTGGAGCTTTATAGAGTCAATCCATCTCACATTTTGTCATTCGCTTTTCCTGTTGTCCTTCTTTACTGTAGAGCTTTCATGTCTGTACATAATAATTGGAAATACAGCTATGTGGATGATCTTGATCTCCAGTGACACATCCTTACATTTGATTATCTTTTCCAGTTCCTTCATAGCCACCCTCCCAAGTCTCACTCTTTTTCTAATTTCTTGGCTGCAGACTTCATTTGATTTGGCGATTGAACCAAGGTATATAGAATCTTCAACAGTTTGAATTTCTTCGTTGTCAAAACTAAAATTACATAGTTCTTCTATAGTCATGATGTTTGTCTTCTTAATATTTAACTGCTGTAACACTTTCTTTTTTCACATTCATCAGGATTTGCGTAAAGTCATTGCTGCTTTCTGCCATTAAAGTGATTCCATCTGCATATCTCTTTCTACCTATTTTTACTCTGCCTTCATTGAATCTCCTTTAGCTTTTCATACAGTATGGTCTTGCATACAGATCTAACAGATAGAGAGGTAGAATACCCCCCTATCTGACAACTTTGCATATGGGAAAGTATTCTGTTTGTCCATATTCTATCCTACGAGTAGCTTCTTGTCCACAATATAGGTTGTAGATCAGGACATTCTAATGTTGAGGCATGCCCATTTCTTTTATAACAGTCCATAGCTTTTCATGATCCACACAGTCAAAGGTTTTGTTGTAGTTTATAAAGCATGGTTGGTGCAGAGCTGCTCAAATAGTATATGCTAAATCCATGAGATCTGCTGTTATTCACAACTCATCATAAATATACTGTTATATTCATATAGGTCCAGTACTGTAATTATGAGACAGAGATAAATACTTGGCCAGTGGTGGGTGTGTCACTATTTGTTTCTCTGTGTGTAAATGGCAGAATATGTTGTTGTATATTTCAAACCTCTGGCTAGACTTTACATATTTTAGGTATGTTTTGCTCTGTGCTTGTTGTGGGAACGGTATTATCCTAAGAGCAGGGTAGAGGAAAGAGAGAAAGGCCAGTTATTTAAAGTGTAACTGGCAGAGGAAAGTATGGTGGGGGAGACTGTTGTGTCATCATGGGAGACTGGAGAGCCATCGTATGTTAACTACCGCCTGCCGCCAGTTCAGATAACATGAATAATCTATGAGGCTGTCCTCCTGGGTTGAAAATGCTGTTGTTCAGTGCCAAGTCCCTAAATGGGAAAAGAGCAACCATCCAGGATCTGATCCTGAATACATGTGCTGACCTGATCACTACTACCGAGATCTGGATGAATGAAACTGGAAGGGTTCCAACATTATCAACTTGGGTTCTCTGTATATCTGCATGTGAGACGTGGTGAGTGAAAGGTAGAGTTTTAGACATCTGTCATGATTCCATACTAGGTATCCCATCTGCTGGGTGTATGCGTGTGTTGAAAGTGCACGGAGAATATGTTGATTTACTGTCCACCCCATTACTCAGTAGTCACTGTTTCTGAGCTACTCTTGGTAGTGCTGTTGAAGTCTCCTTGGCTTCTTATCCTGGAGGGTTTTGATATTCATAATGAGTCCACTTTGTTGGGGGTTGCTTGGGGCTTCTTGCCCTCCATGACAACCATGGGTCTGCCTGAAGTGAATCTGGGCCTCATTTTCTGCCCTAGATAGGATGGATGGTGGTCATCTGCTGTAGCTCTGCTGCCATGGGCAGGTCAATACCTTCTCCTGCAGAAGAAAAATCAAAATATAAATATGTACTTAGAACAATTTTGTTTCTCAGTTCTGATCTGTCTGTAGTGTGTGAAACATATTAGCATTTGCAATTGCTAAACATAGATGCTTTTCCCAGGTTTTTAGCCCCTCACTAAGATCAGTTTTGATGCATGAGGTCTGTTCTCCAGCATTTGCAGTGCCTTTCACTTTTGTATCACTCACCAGTTTTTACTCCCCCCCTTTCCCCCTTCAAGCCAATACAGTATTTAAAGACATTGTTGAACAGCACTTCATATAGTAGTGGTATCCAGTGCCCTTGGTTAGCTGTTTTACAATGGATATTGGTTCTCATTTATTCCTGACTGTACTTTTCCCTTAAAAGTAAAATATCCTCCCCCCTCCTCCACATTGTCAGACTTTTAGAGGTGAAATGTTGATACATCAACTGCATTCCAATCAGGAGTCTAAGCTAGCCTTGTCTGTTGGTTGGCATATTTGTTTCTAGTTCTGTTTGCTTTCCTCTAGGTGCCAACAAAGACTTGCAAATGACTTATGTATTTCTCAGTTTAACCCAAGTTGTATCCAGAGGCAGGCCTGTAAACTGCAATCTTACACACATTTTCCTGGTATTAAGTTCCACTGGAAAAAAGGTGACTTCTTTCCAAGTGAAACAGGTCCATATCCAAGGGTCAGTCTGCTAAAAAATACTCTCCCAATGCCCTTAATAATCTGAAGTAGTAAATTTGCAGCACATCTTCTGTGGATCAGTAGATTACTGGAGTGCAATCATAAAGACCTGCCTATTCAGAAATATGTCTCATAGTTTTAAATGGAAGTTTTTCCAAGGTACAGGTAGAAAAGTTTTTATATGAGCACGTAACTTTTGGGTACTGTGTCAGGGTTCATATTTATATACATATATTATTATATTTATATAGCTGGATGGATAGCTCAGTGGTTTAGTTATCTGGCCGTGGAGCCAGAGCTTGGAAATTTTATTCTCCACTGTGCCTCCTGGGAGAAGAACCAGGCTGTGTAGTCATGGGCAAGATGCACAGTCCCAGGTTGGCCCCAGAAGAAGGGAATGGTAAACCACTTCTGTCTGTCCTCTACCTTGGAAACCCTGGAAAGGGTTGACATAAGTCAGAATTAACTTGACAGTATGCAGTTGTTGTTGTTGTTGTTGTTGTTGTTGTTGTTGTTGTTGTTCTTCTTCTTCTTCTTCTTCTTCTTCTTCTTCTTCTTCTTCTTCTTCTTCTTCTTCTTCTTCTTATTATTATTATTATTATTATTATTATTATTATTATTATTATTATATTTTATACTTTTTGACAGCATAGCTACTTCAGTGTACTCTCATCCACCAATAATTTAAAAAAAGTCTCTAACTTAGCTACAATACAGTTGTTTCTTCCACATGTGGTCTTAACTTTGTTTTTTACAAAAAAAGTAAGCAACCAAAGAACTGAGAAAATATGACTTTTCACTTTTTTACAGAGAAAGTAAACCAAAGTATTATTTGTTTGTTGTTTAAGGTCATCTGTGATTTACAAACCCAGATCCATACACTAAGGGAAGAGCTAATTCAGGTGAATTCTCAGAGAAAGCAACAGCTAGTTGAACTTAGCCTCCTTAGAGAAGAAGAAAAGCAAATAGCTTCCCGGGAGCACGAGACTGCCATGAACAACCTTAAAGCTGAGTCAGAAAAGAGGATTCTTGACCTGAAACGGGCAAATGCTGAAGAAAAGGAAATGGCACTAGAAAAAGTAAGTACAGATGCAAAAGTGGTGATCAGGATATTGCAAGTCTTGGAGGTGGAAGGGTGATGTGTGAAACTGCGACTGTTATGTGCATTTTGAGAAGTTGGACTAACATGGCAGTGCTTTTATTCCGTTGCAGCATGTATACATCTTTTCTGTTCTGCCTCAATACATCTTGACTTTATTTAAACTACTAAGTGGTTCTTTAAAATTGGAGAAAGGTCGGGAAGACTAATTCTTTTCTGCCCTACTTCCCCTAATGTCAGTTTTATGCCATTTCTGTACAATTTTCATATTAGTAATGTTTTCCATTTAGTAGCCAGAGAGAAGTTTCTCACTTTAGGGACAGCAGTTTCTCCCCATGAAAGATAGATCCATTTTTGACTTCAGGTTGGCTTCATTGCAGGGTTCTCTGTCCCGGAGATGGGGTAGTTTTTCCTTAGCTCTGATTCTACATGTTATGTGTGTTTCCTCCCTCCCTCCCTTTAATGCCAGGGGACAGAGAGAGGGAAAAAGACATGAAGACTGTAGCATGTCATTCTCCCATCAAGACAAGACTAAGTTGCCAAATTTAGAGTAAGGTGGTTCACTCCAAACACACAATTTCCCTCTTCTCTTACCATACAACTAGCAGGCAACAAAAAGTTCTTGTACAGCTTGTCTTCTGAAGGTGTTTCATATCTCTCTCAGGCCTCATATGAGGCATTTATATGTTGGTCAAGGACAAGTCAGTGCTTCCTGCTGAAAGAGTTTCCTACCCACACAGAAACAGTGAGACAAAACTGGGAGCAGGAGCTGGTGACATCAGTTGCTCATTCTTCCTTCAGGGCTGAAATAGTGCTGCCAGTCAGTGTAGATCCTCCTTCTGCATAGTGCAGAAGAAAGGTGACTGTTGTAGTTGATCATCTTATCCCCTGCTATCAAGAGACTTTGTTCCAAGGCAATCCAATTAAAAGTGTTCTGCTTATATACCGCCCCATAGTGCTTCAAGAACTCTGGGCGGTTTACAAGTTAATTATGCAGGCTACATATTGCCCCCCCCCCGAAAGTTGGGTACTTATTTTACTGACCTCGGAAGGATAGAAATCTGAGTCAACCTTGAGCCCCCTACCTGGGATTGAACCCTAGGTCGTGAGCACAGTTTTGGCTGCAGTACAGCGGTTTAACTACTGCACCACGAGGCTCATTAAGCAAGGTTAAGACAATTAGAAGGGTATTTACCTGACCTCAATGGTGTTACCCTTTCCCAGCTTTACAGGTTGGGTGTATTCTTGGATCCAGCAATCTCTGTGAATGCACAAATACCTCCTGTGGCCCAGAGTGCCTTTCATCAACTCCAGTTGATTGCCCAGATGCACCCTTACCTAGAGAAGAAATGCCCAACAACAGTGGTTCATGCATTGGTAATTGTTAAAATAGTCTACTGTAACACTCTCTGCATTTTGTTGTTGTTTAGTCATTTTATCATGTCTGACTCTTTGTGACCCCATGGACCAGAGCATGCCAGGCCCTCCTGCCTTCCACTGCCTCCTGGAGTTGGGTCAGATTCATGTTGGTTGCTTCAATGACATTGTCCAACCATCTCATCCTCGGTCGTCCCCTTCTCCTCTTGCCTTCACACTTTCCCAACATCAGGGTCTTTTCCAGGGAGTCCTCTCTTCTCATCAGATGGCCAAAGTATTGGAGCCTCAGCTTCAGGATCTGTCCTTCCAGTGAGCACTCAGGGTTGATTTCCTTTAGAATTGATAGGTTAGTTCTCCTTGCAGTCCAGGGGACTCTCAATTGCCTCCTCCAGCACCACAATTCAAAAGCATCAGTTGTTCAGCGGTCAGCTTTCTTTATGGTCCAGCTTTCACTGCCATACATCACTACAGGGAAAAAACATAGCTTTGACTATGCAAACTTTTGTTGGCAAGGTGATGTCTCTGCTTTTTAAGATGCTGTCAAGGTTTGTCATAGCTTTCCTCCCAAGAAGCAGGCATCTTTTAATTTCGTGGCTGCTGTCTCCATCTGCAGTGATCATGGAGCCCAAGAAAGTAAAATCTGTCACTGCCTCCATATCTTCCCCTTCTATTTGCCAGGAGATGATGGGACCAGTGGCCCTGATCTTAGGTTTTTTTGATGTTGGGCATCAGACCATTTTTTGCACTCTCCACTTTCACCACAAGGTTCTTTTAATTCCTCCTCACTTTCTGCCATCAGAGTGGTATCATCTGCATATCAGAGGTTGTTGATATTTCTTCTGGCAATCTTAATTCTGGCTTGGGATTCATCCAGTCCAGCCTTTCACATGATGTATTCTGCATATAAGTTAAATAAGCTGGGGGAAAATATATAGCCTTGTCGTACTCCTTTCCCAATTTTGAACCAATCGGTTGTTCTATATCCAGTTCTAACTGTTGCTTCCTGTCCCTCATATAAGTTTCTCAGGAGATTCATAAGGTGGTCAGGCACTGCCATTTCTTTAAGGACTTGCCATAGTTTGCTGTGGTCCACATAGTCAAAGGCTTTTGTGTAGTCAATGAAGCAGAAGTAGATTTTTTTGTGGAACTCTCTGGTTTTCTCCATAATGCAGCGCATGATAGCAATTTGGTCCCTAGTTCCTCTGCCCCTTCAAAATCCAGCTTGTACTTCTGGGAGTTCTCGGTCCACATACTACTGAAGCTTACCTTGCAGGATTTTGAGCATAACCTTGCTAGTGTGTGAAATAAGTGCAATTGTACAGTAGTTGGAGCATTGTTTGGCACTGCCCTTCTTAGGGATTGGGAAGTAGACCAATCTTTTCCAGTCCTCTGGCCACTGTTGAGTTTTCCAAACTTTCTGCCATATTGAATGTTGCATCTTAACAGCCCCATCTTTTAAGATTTTAAAATGTTCAACTGGAATGCCATCACTTCCACTGGCCTTGTTGTTAGCCAAGCTTTCTAAGGCCCACTTAACTTCACTCTCCAAGATGTCTGGCTCAAGGTCAGCAACCACACTATCTGGGTTGTCTGGGATATCCAAATCTTTCTAGTATAATCCCTCTGTGTATTCTTGCCACTTCTTCTTGATGTCTTCTGCTTCTTTTAGGTCCCTCCCATTTTTGTCGTTTGCGTATTCAGAACATCGCAATGCGATCGCATTAGCGATCTAAAAAAAATAGATCGTTATGCGTATTCATCATTAAACGGTGTGCTTGTTAAGCGAGGCACCACTGTAGTAGATATGATAATAATCTGAATTGAATTCACCCATTCCTGTCCATTTTAGTTCACTGATGAGCAGGATGTCAATGTTTATTCTTGCCATCTCCTGTTTGACTACATCCAGCTTACCAAGGTTCATAGGTCTTACATTCCAGGTTCCTATGCAGTATTTTTCTTTGCAGCATCGGACTTTCCTTTCACTTCCAGGCACATCCACAGCTGAGCATCCTTTCAGATTTGGCCCAACCACTTCATTAGCTCTGGAGCTACTTGTACTTGTCCTCGGCTCTTCCTCGGTAACATCCAACCTGAGGGGCCCATCTTCCAGCGTCATATCATTTAGCCTTTTGTTTCTGTTCATGGGGTATTCTTGGCAGAGATGCTGGAATGGCATTGCCAATTCCTACTACAGGTGGATTGTGTTAGTCAGAACTCTCCACTGTGAGCTATCCATCTTGGCTGTCCCTGCATGGCATAGCCCATAGCTTCTCTTGAGTTACTCAAGCCCCTTCGCCATGACAAGGCAGCAATCCATGAAGGGAACACTCTCTGTATAGGGTGGCCCTATACATATGATATGAACACCTATCCCCAAACCTGGCACACCTTCATTGGCTCCCATTAGCTTCCATTTCCAGTTCAGAGTACTGGTTTAGGAAGTTGATATTTGTTGGAACATCTCTCCCACAGAACAGCTACTTGTGCCAAGCTCTTCTCACAGTCAATTATATTAAAAATGGTAACAACTAAAGAGATTGAAAGAGTAAACACCAGGAACTGTGCTTTTTCGGTTGTGGCCCCTTGGAACAAACTTCTAACCGAGATTTATCAGGCACCTTCACTCTCAATTTTTAAGAAACTAGTAAAAACAGAACTATTGAAAACCATCTTTTATAGTGCATTTACTACCTGATATGTTCAAGTCTGTTTAATTTGTTTAATTTTGTTTAAATATAAGTTTAATCTAAGGTCAGGATTTTATCGATTTAATGATATTTTTGTACAGTGTTGTTTCATTTATTATACAGTTGGACCGCCATATCCACTGTATCAATATCCGCTGATTCATTTATCCACAGTCTGAAAACACTGTTCTGTACAGTATTAAAAATATTACTAGAAAGAAGTTTTCCCTCACTTCAAAATTGCGTGTTTTACCAGAACTGGCCACTAGAGGGAGCTTGAGATGAATTCTTGTTCTCTTCAGAATTTTTCACTTTCTTTTATGACAATGGTTCCAGAAATTTTAACAACTCCCTTTCTTTCCCATCGTGGTAGCCCATCCCCATCACCTGCTGCAAGAGGTAGGTGGAAGGGTGGGGGTGTGCCTAGGCCACTGCTTGTGAGAGTGGCAGCCTCCAACCCTGCCCTGCCCTTTTCTCCTTGATCCTGGACACGCGGCTGCCTTCCCTTGCATGCAGGGAGCTCATCCTTCTCCCCATGTTCTTCTTCAGTCTCAGGCAAGCAAGATCCACTGCTGCCTCTGAGTTGCTTCTAAGCGAGGAAGCAAGGAGAGAAAGGGCAGCTGTCACCCCACCCCGACCCCTGGTGGCTTGGCCCCTTCTCCCACTGTCACTGTGGGAGGTAGGTGGACAAATGTGGGGCTGGTCCTGGCCACTTCTTGTGAAAGTGGTGAGAGATGTGTTCACTATTATATATGGGGAAATTGGAACCAATCCCCTGAGGATATGGGGGTCCTACTGTATGTGATTTTAATGTGCTGTGAACTGCCCACTATGGGACAGTATACAAGTTGAATGAATGAGTGAGTGAGCGAGTGAGTGAGTGAGTGAGTGAGTGAGTGAGTGAGTGAGTGAGTGAGTGAGTGAAAGAGACAGACAGACAGACAGACAGACAGACAGACAGACAACCCCCTGACGCTTTGCTACAGTATGTTGGGGACCAATGCTTATGGCAACAGAAAGTGCTATAGCAGGTGCTATAGCAGGCACATCAGGTTCATTAGCCAGAGGCAGAGCTGACAACATGAGTGATACATGTATCAAGAATACATAAGAATCATAAGTACTCCTTAGGAACCACAGCCACACCATCTTACTTAGATCTCCTAGAGAGCTACATTATACCTATCTTTCTATAGCAGATTAAACATTTTATTCATTCATTCATTCATTCATTCATTCATTCATTCATTCATTCATTCATTCATTCATGTATGTATGTATGTATGTATGTATGTATGTATGTATGTATGTATGTATGTATGTATGTATGTATTGTCATTGTAAGTATATACACAGTATACCCATACAATGAAATTCACAGACAC